CTGCAAGCATAATAAGACTAAGTTTGGTTGATAACATTCGAATGTTATCAATTCTAGCAAGTGTGCATGAAATTTTGAAAGCTAAGTGTTTGAAACATTGTATCCGTGAAATGKCAATTCAAATCCGTTCTACCTAAAGAAGCAGTTTCACACGTTGTGAATAGTAAAGGTACAAAAACTTGCATCTTGTTGCTATTTTCTTTTAATTTCTCGATTATTTTCTGCTTATTCCAACAACAACGAAGAAAGTCCTTTCCAAATCATTTTTACTATTAATTTTCACCGACAAGAACAATCTTTTGCAAGAATCTAAAAAATAATAATAATAAAAAAAAATCAATAATTCCAATAAAATCATCTCTACACAGAATCGATCATTTAATAACTCTGTCAATACTCACAAATTTCAACCAAAAAAAACTCTAATATCATCTTTCTCTAAAATCCTATCAATTTCTGCCAAACATATGTTTTATAATTCATCGAACAGCCTGAGAAAATACTTTTTTCAACAATTCTTTGAAGAAAAACTTATTTGAAGGTAAAATTTTCAACAATTATCTAAGTTTAAAACACAATGGGATGAAATTAAAAATTAAAAATTGATAAAACTTATCAAATTCAGTGTAAACAATGATTTATTTATTTATTTATTATTATTATTATTATTATTTTTGTGCAAAGAGGCGTGATGGAGAAATTTGTAAAATCCACAAGCTCAGTTTGAAAGGCACACAATGTTTGAAGAGACTTGAGATCCAATCTCTAATACACACCGCACATGGGAACTACAAATGAAACAAATATACTATAATGGTAGGTTTCGTTTTTAAGGCGTTTAATTTAATGAAGCATAACTCAACTAGTTAAAACTACGGGAATATCCACGTAGAATATATATTATATAATCTTGAAGAACAAAACGGTGTTTGGTCCGCTAGCTTCCTCCCCTCTATGAAACTGTTCTCCTCCCTCCGTGTCCCGTGATCAATTATAAGATTCAGCATACTAATCCCCTCTTTGGAACCATGCTAAAAAAATTCACAAAAAACTCACTAATTAAATCAAAATCAAATTTCTATATTTATTTTCTTTTAAGAGGTCGTAAGTAAATTTGATTCCTTCGTCTCCTATTTAYGATGTTATATTCTAAAAAATRAATACATAATAGTCGAGTTTTTTTAATAAATGACTTATAGAATATATTAAGAGAGATGATTCATGATAAAGAAGCGAGAAATTAGCATGCAGAGCTTCAATGTAATCACGATAGTAGTGTATACTTCAAAAGATTATAAAAATTGAAGATCAGTAAAAAAAATATTTGTGGATAATGTCTTTGGTTCACTGTAAACATCTTCCTATATAGGAGAAGCATTTTTGCTTTGTCATTCCCAACATGTGGTACTTATCCTATGTTTCTAAAAATAATATGCCAAAGACTTGAGTTAGAATTTCACAAGAGGAAGTTTCACACAGAAGGTATGATGTTTATATTTCACTGTATTATGATGGCACTCAAAGGCTCTATTTATACAAAA